ATGTTCTACTGGTTCCTCCTTGTTCTCGTTGCATACCATGACGGCACTCTTCTGAACGTTGGCAGACAATCTCCACTTATCAGTAAACTTCTTCGCCGCGTCAATTTGCAGTTGCAGTCCCTCAGGGGTGTCCGACATACCGACAAAATCATCCGCAAACAGCATTCCTGAAACCGACGTTTCCGTGTCCCCTACTTTTACTCCCTTCCGGACTGCCTCTACGACTTCCAACAGATCGTTGATGAACACCTGGAACAATGTAGGGGACAGCGTGCAACCTTGTGGGACCCCCTACTCGACCTGGGGGCGAGAAAAATGAGACAAACTTGCCCTCAATGTTCGCTTGCGCACGAGAACCGGCTATACCGTGTTTACCGTAGCGTTGGCCGCCTAGTTGGGCCTTCCCTGCCACGGCTGCGTAGGGGTACGAGCGCCTGTGAACCGAAGACTGCCGTGGTCATGCATTCCGCTGCATATCCTGAGCAGCAGCCCACTCCCCTACACTCCCCTCGCACTGTAGCTCCCCCTCCCAGATGTAGAAATGACGGGTTTCCCTGCTCTTACTACCCAGTCTCCGTCTCCACCCAACCCTTGCGCCATTTTCATCACTGTAGCGGGCGGCGATGGAGGGGAAGCGCGAGGACGAGAGCATGCGACAATTCAACAAGCGGGTTCGCGAGGGCACGGCCCAGCTGCTCAAGGATGAGTTCAAGGAGCACAGCTCCACCAACAAGCGCAGGAAAAAGTGAGACACGCGAACGGCTTGACGATAGTGTGCGTAGATGGCGGACGTTGCGCATGATGCTGACTCCTTCGCAGCTAAAGGGGTTCTGTTGTTTCTTCGGCGGGCTCCTCGGTGTCAGATATTCTGGCTGGACATTGCTAACGAGGTAGATTGAATACTACTGTTCGTTGAGGCAGATTCCTGGTGCTTTGGAACTATTCGGGAAACGGTCGTATCGTAGTGTAGAAGGCGATGTACCTCCGCAAGGGAGGGTTTGGCTGGGAGTTTCTGCTTGGGTGATGAAAAATGGTAGCTATGATACCATGTTTCTCTAGAAAATGTTCTCCAAATTCATCCCTCTCGACAGTTCAGTCACGAAGTGCATCAGAAGATGTTTTTGTAGCACTGCTCGGTAGATGATTTTCTGAAACGTATGCATATGGGTTCCCTTTTTTTATTTTGTTTGGTATACAACTACTGCTGAGCAAATTATTCTGTCCCTTTGTATATCTCGTTATTGCTCTCTTGACTCCGTCTCCCCTCTGCACACCTTGCCTCTCACGCGCACAAAGTCGGCACAGCTCCTCCTCGTTGTCACCAAAAACCAACAACCACTGTCCCGGTCTGTCCATCTATGCAGGTACCTCGATGACAAGAAACGCAAGAATAAGCTCAAGAAGCAGGGCCTATGGGAAGAGGTGCAGCGGCGCGAGCGCCTCGACGAAGAGCACGCGGCAGCAGGTTTCGATGGGGCGGAGCGAGGCGGCGGCGGTGGTGGCGGCGGCGGCGGCGGCGGCGGCGGTGGCAGCGGTGTTTCAGCTGGTCGTGGCAGGCAGGGGGGTGGCGGTGGCGGCGGCGGCGGAAACAACTGGGGGGTGTTGGGGCGGGCAGACGATGACGAAGGCGCGGCGCAGCTTCTCCAGAAGGAGCACATCAGGTGCGGTCCACCCTTGACGGGCATAACACAACGCACGTTTTTGTTGTTCTACAGCACCAACCCGCCGGGTCCCCCTAGCATGAGAGTATGGCGGTCACAGATGGGCCTTGAAAAGTGTTCGTTGGTGGTGTCTCGTGAGTTTTTTGTGTCACATGTTTGGTTGCATATTTGGGATCTGTTCATCAATTGTTGTGCCGCAAAAGGTTGGTCCCATGCGCGGGCGGCTGTGCTTTCGTACGGCAATGGTGCCAATCTCCTCGAAGGGTCGTAGACCCTTGGTGCCGCTACTGTACTGCCCCCGCCACCTCAACCAGAGCCTGTTCCGTACGTCCGTTCCTCGGAAGGTCCGTAAAGCTAGCACACAAGCTCTTGTTTTTCTGTTGACGAAAACCTTTGACTGGCTCGATTGCATCACACAAGCTCGCAAATCACCTCTACAGAATGGTATAGGCTTTCGTATACACACCCGCAAACGCACGAGGAGGCAGTTTCGATCCTGCTTGGCCACTCGCTCATCGCAATGTTTTTATTTTTTCTCCATGGCACTGCCGGCACGAACTTAGCTAAGACGCCAACACCCCATCCTTTCGGTTCCCTTCAGGTTTGGAGAAGTGGCGCACGCGCCCCCAGACCTCGCCAAGATTCCCAAACCGCGGGGCTTCAAGGACCAAGGGCAGGCCAAGCCGTGGGCAAGGCAAGCCGCCGCCGCGGCCGGGGGTGGGGTGGGAGATACTTCTTCTCCCAGTGGTGCCAGTACGGGAAATCAGGGCGTGAGCCAGGGGCAGCAGAAGAAGGGACAGAGAAATAGGAAAAACAACGCGGCCGGGGGGGGGGGGGT